AGACACGCTGGGGGCAGTCAGCGCCCTGGTGGCCAGCTGTGAGAGGCTCTCCTGTCTGTCCCTGGACAGAGCCGCTCGGAACTCCACCGAGTCCAGCTGCAGACCGAGGTAGAGCGCGCGCTGGGCAGGCTGTAATCTGCTCTTCTCTCTGTTCACCACAAAACCCAGCTGTTGTATGTGAGACAGAACCCGGAGCGTGTGTTCCAGGGCCACCTCCCTGGACTGTGCCAGAATTAACCAATCGTCGATGTAGGTTAAAATTCTGACCCCTGCTCGTCTGAGCGGCATCAGGGCTGCCTCCACGCATTTCGAGAAGGTGCGGGGGGCCAGAGCATACCCGAACGGGAGGCGGCAGTACTCGTAGCACCTTTCTCCCACAGCGAAGCGCAGAAAGCGTCTGTGCTCTGGCACTATCGCAACGTGGAAATAAGCGTCTGTCAGATCGATGGAGGACATCCAGTCTCCGGGTCTGACACATTCCAGTAGCTGCTTCGTAGTGAGCATGCGGAACGGCCGCCTGGAGATGCACTGGTTGAGTGCGCGCAGATCCAGAATAGGGCGCACCCCCCCTGTCTTTTTGGGGACCAGAAAGTAAGGGGAGTACAGCCCTCTGTGAGCGTCCTGTGGGTCGACCTGGACCGCAGCACCTCTTAGTAACAGGGAGGTTACCTCCTCTTGGAGAGGCGCTGGTCTCCTCGCGAACTGTAGGGCATAACCTCTGCGTAACGTCTTGTCCAACCATGCGTCTGAGAGGAGCCCCTGCTCTCTCCAGACCCGATAAAAAGACGTGAGAGGGGGCACCGGGCTCGTGAGACCTGACCTTAATTCCCCCCACTCTCCTGGTGCCTTCACAGGGGAGGGGGGATCCACGAAAGGGCCGAGGAAGTCTGTGTTGCCCCGTTGCCTTGGTAACCACAGCTTGCCTCTGTCTCTTTGCCCCGCTGCGCGATACAGAGGAGTCCTTACTCCTTGTATCGCTTATAGCAGCGTGCTCTGCCTCTGTGCAGTGCGAGGCAGACGGACCATGACCCGTTGCCTCGGCAACCACGGCTTGTCTCATTTCCCTGCTGCGCGAGACAGAGGAGTCCTTGCCCCTTGTTTCGCTTATAGCAGCGTGCTCTGCCTCTGTGCAGTGCGAGGCAGACGGACCCTGACCCGTTGCCTCGGTAACCACAGCTTTTCTCTTTGCCCTGCTGCGCGAGACGGAGGAGTCCTTGCCCCTTGTTTCGCTTATAGCAGCGTGCCTTGCCTCTCTGCAGTGCGAGGCAGACGGACCCTGACCCGTTGCCTCGGTAACCACAGCTTTTCTCTTTGCCCTGCAGCGCAAGACAGAGGAGTCCTTACTCCTTGTATCGCTTATAGCAGCGTGCCTTGCCTCTCTGCAGTGCGAGGCAGACGGACCCTGACCCGTTGCCTCGGTAACCCCAGCTTGCCTCTTACGCTTCAGGCCCATGCCAAATGAGGAAGTGTGAGGAACAGTGGAGCTAGAAGGGACCGTAAATCCCCTGTTATAGGGACCCTCGCGTTTCAACACTCCCTGTAGAGATGAAACGCTAGATCTGTTACCCGGAGCGGTGGTCTGAGACAGTCTCATCAAACCACCCTCTGTGCCATGTGTCTGCTCTGTAGGTAAGACCACACTGCCCTCTACCTGTGACGGCATGTGGTGCAAGAGAACAGAGGACTGAGACAGTGGATAAGCTTGATTTTTTCTTTTATTGAAAGAGGCTTTTCCCCCGCGTCTCCCACCACCGAAAGGAGGAGGACGCTGGAAGGATCGGTCTCGTGGGCCTCCGGAGGTCCAATCCTGGCCCTTGGATCTTGCTGGAGCAGGCCGTGCCGAGCGTGCAGCGGTCTGGGGGAAGGCAGGGCGACGTAGCGGGGACCGGTCCCTCTCCCTCCCTCTCTCTCTGCTCTCGAAGAGGCGGCGCTGCTTCCGCGGCGCCAAATGAGGAGCCAACTTGGCGGAGTCCTTTGCCGCTCCGTCGAGTCTTTCCATCAGGCCTCTCATGTCTGGGCCGAAGAGAGACTCTGTGGAGATGGGGAGGTCCAGAAGTTGCTTCTTTTCCGCTTCCCGGACATCAACAAGCCCCAGCCATAGGTGACGGGCACCGACCTGCGCCGCCGCCATAGTCCGACCACCGTCAATAGCGAGCGCCTGGATCATGCGGAGGGTCGCTGCCGTGGTGGTCCTGGCTCTGGTAAGGTCCTCGCCGCTCAGCGCCTCGCCAGCGGCGAGTGACCTGTCCAAGGCGCCGGTGATGAGCGCCATATTGCTCGCCAACGCAACGACCTGTGTCGCGTTGGCGTAGCACCGGTCCAGTACCGACATGGACACCCGGTCCTTGTCGGTGGGGAGGAGCGGTTTGCTGCCCGGCCACAGGGAGGATTTGGGGAGGAGCGCCAGCCTCACCGCATCCTCGACCTCCGGTACGCCTTTGGACCAGGACCAGTCCTGGACTTCACAGTAAGGACCGTACCCCAGGGCAGGCCTCTTAGCTGTGGAAGGCTTGGTCCAGTCGCGTGTAGCGTAGTGGAACACCGGCTCCATACGCGGACACAGCGTGGGCACCTGCCTCTTCCTCCCTCTCTGAGAAGACCCCACCGAGGTAAAGTCTTCCCTGGGTTGCACGGGTTGCGGGGGGAATGGAACCTCCATGGTCCTCGCCGCAGCCATGAAGAGGCGGGGCATGTGATCGAGCGGGAACCGGTCCGGCTCGCACCAGGAGGAAGCCTCGTCGAGCGTGATGAAGGAACCCTGGTCCTCATCACGCTCCTCCTCCTCCACGACGCAGTCTCCCCACTCCCTGGGTGCGGGAGGCAGGTCTAGCGGCACGTACTCCACCTCGAGTTCGTCCTCCTGGGAGGAACCCGGGTGCGCCACCGCGGAGCCAACATACGCCATGCGGCGCTCTCTCTCCTCCCTGGGGAGAGAGAGGCACGCTTCGCAGTCAGCCTCGTCCCCCTGGTAGTGGGATACACCCAGGCAAAGGAAGCACAGACTGTGCCGGTCCTTGCGGGAGATCCTGGTCCTGCAGCTCCTGCACCGTCTTCGTCCGACGCCGGAGGGCGACGGGGTTCTCGGACGCGACGGGGAAGGAGACGACATCTTCAATCGGTGAGTTATTTTCTTCTCTCAGTGGCGCCAGAGTGAAAAGTGGTTGGTACGGGCCGTAGAGGGCTATTTATAGATGGGACTGGCATGTCATTGGAGCATTTAGTTCTCTCTGGCGGGAAGCTAGGTGCTTCTGGAGTATACCCATAGCGAAGCCTAAGGGGCGTTAGCACCATGATGTAGAATGTATTGCGTGTATTGCGCCCTCCACAGTTTATGTCAGAAAACACACTGTAGTTGAGGCCAGTTGCTGTCAACTATTATTCCTGTGATTCCCGAGACTGGTCTGCTACTAGGAGTTGCCTGTTTACGCCAGATTGTCGATGTGTGCGGGGCAGCAACTCATAGGCGACGGATATAATCAGTTGCCAGTCCGATGTACACTAGGCAAAAGAGATGACATGAGAACAGTGACAAGGACAAGTGTGAGAAAGTTCCCTCTCTTCACACACCTGGCTCTGGATCTCAGAGGCAATCAAAGTACAATGTCAAAGAGACATGTTTTTTTGGATCTGAACAACTATTTACCCACATTAAAGCGTCTGGGTCAAAATGACCCGCAACATCATCTTTGTATACAATCTCTGCACAGACGTTCCACTACACATCAAAGTGTCCAGATTTTACACACCAGTTCATGACCCTAGATGAGGAAAAGTCACCAAATTTCAGCAAGAAAAAGAAAGGATAACCAGTACTTTGATCAACTCAAAAACTGAAATGGGTCAAATTGACCCTTAACATAATACAAGGGTTAATGAAATCCTGCAGCCACACCAGCCCTTTGAGGAGCAGTTTGATGAGATAAGATTAGATAATATAAACTTTATTTATCTCACAATGGAGAAATTTGCACCCCTGAGTTTGCATGTTCTCCGCACGTCTGCGTAGGTGACGGTGTCCTCCCGGAGCACTACTTTCAGGGTGATTGAGTGCAACAGCGGAACAACAAATAATACAGCATATTCCGAGCAACTGCTGTTCGTTAATATACAATTCAAAAGATATAATTGAACAAAACAAAGCGAGCAGAGTTAAAAAGTATCTCAGAAGAAATGTCCCAGGTAATAATGTCTGTTCATTGCAGCTTCAAAAAAGCAGTCATTGTATGTAATGTGCATATAAGTCCATGTCGACACTGTAAATTCACAGGGAAATAGTTGAGACCAAAACAGTAGGTGCACCTGTTCCATTGTGTGGTTCTCTCATTGAAGCAGTCATGCAAATGAAGCCCATGGCGTTGTTTCATCTCATCCGCCAGATGGGAACTATCAGGTTGAAAGGGATTAACTTCTGCTTCATAACATGCTAAAGGGCAAGTTTGTCATGTTTTAAGGGACATTTTTATTTTGTAAATCTTTTTTTTCAATTGTGTTAATATCATTCATAAAATCAATGTTATTTCAGTGCACAATGACAACAATACTTACTAATGATTGGCTAATAGGCTCACAAGTGCGGAATCCACTCATGACAGATCCATGATAGAACAAATAATATCTGGTTTTCCCATCAACACAACCAACACAATGGAAACACCATGCGAAAAACCCCAGACCTGACAAAACCAAACCCCCCCATATTCTCCTAACAGTTTCTCCAGTGGCAGTGAATTGATGGGTCGAGTGCAAAATATGAGTCTCAGTGTAAAGTTTTGGGTTACTTGGGTGAATGGTTACTTGACGTGAAGTACTTTGAGTGCATAAAATGGTAGAAAGGTAGAAACCATTGAACTTACTTAACCAACTTAACGATACAGCCAAAATACAACTTTGTATCAGTCAGATTAAGAAGGAAGTCCAGAGAGAAAGAGGCCGCAGAGGACAGGTGGTCCGGAGGGGCCGGCTCCGGGGCATCCACGTGCCAACGGAGATGCGGAAAAGGAATGGAACGAAGGACAGGGGAGCAGGAGCGGCTCAGGAGGGGCATGCATGAGACCCCGGCCAGCAAGGTGCCCCGGCGCGTGAAGCCTGGGCCCACGGTGTGTGATGCCTGGCCTCCGTCCCGACGAGATGAAGCTGTGAGCGTACCCCAGGAGGAGATGGAGCGCAGTTTTAGCCATCCATCCATCCATTTTCTTCCCTTTAATCCATTTCTGGGTCAGGGGGGTGGCAGTCAGAGATGCCACCCAAGTCTCATAGCACCAGCCCCTCACTGACCCTCTGCAGGTGGTGAGTCCACAGGAGGACGGCTGCTCTCTGACTGTGAGCATAGCCTTGATCTTTCAGCGGGGGCTTTGGGCAAAGTGGGGTTAAGTGTCTTGCCCAAGGACACAACGACAGCAGTCATCAGTGGGAGTCGATGGAGAAGGTGCAGAGGTGGGAATTGAACCCACGACCTTCTGGCCTTAAGGCCAATGCTCTACCAACTGAGCTACTGTCGCAGTTTTAGCCAATTGCTTTTAATTCAATTTTTATCCTTTGTATTCATTTTTTTTGCTTTTTTATTGGTCACACCCCCTATTTGGACACTTCTAAACTTGACACATCCATGAAAGTCTGTGGCACTACCCACCAAAAAAGCAAGATCAATAAGCACCATCTTTCTTTTTCTTGAAGCCAAATCACAGGCACGTTTTTAAATTACTAATTCATGTTTTGCAACGCCCAGGGAGCCATCTCCAGATGTTGATGCTTGGTTTGGCTAGGTTGACCTTTTTAGCTGTAGGAGCTTTTTGCATGTTTTGGGTGGTGGGGGAAACTGGAGTTCTCAGAGGAAACCCATCCAAACATGGTAATTCCACACACAGACAATCCCAGGCATTCCAAGCTCGAAAGTTTGATTTTTTGCTTGTCCTGGGAACATGATGTGCATTCGTAAATGGTATTATTTGTTGTTTATCAGATTATTATTAAATGTTGAATGTGTTTTCAATGAAGCCAAACCCTGTTGTAAGAGACAGAATACTACAGAGTTGGCCCCCAAAAAAGGGTGTTTGGACATTCTGTTTGAGACAATAAATCAGCATATTTGTGGGGGAGGCAAATATAGAAATATATACAGAGCACTAAGAGGAGCACCCTCAGTGCTCGCTGGGGTTTAGGACACAGGGACAGCAGGGAGAGATCTTGTATGCACATTTATTGTAACAAGAAAACCAAATTTTGAATGGAACTTTTGGATTTTCCCAGGTCTTCCCTCCTGGTCAAATTTGAATTATGCAACAAACACTAGTTACATTTGATTCATCAGCAATTTTTGGTTCGGAAAAATGTCTTTAATATACATTCTCAGCATGGGTTTAGACTTTTTATTTTCTCTGTTTTCCCAAAAACGTCTTGATAAAACAGACAACAGCGTACATTTCAGAAAACCCTAATACAAAAATGATGACACCGGAGGGAAACTTCATGTGAAACACAAAAACGTAATCAAATCTTTATGATATGGATCGGTTCAATGGGCTTTTATGACTTTGTAATGAAATTAAAAAAGGCCTTTCATAGCGACAATATATGCGGACTAATTATGACTTCCTTTCAAATAAAAATACAAATTAGTTGCCATCTAATTACTGCATAATTTTGTGAAGCGTTTCTAAAAAAACAAAACCTCAAAGCGCAACATCAGTTTGGTGAAATGTACTAAGTGCTTTTTAAATTGGTTCTGAAACATGCCCCATTAAAGGCAGCTCATTGGCCGGTTCCTTAAGGAGATGGGATTTTTGCATGAGGTCCACAAGGTCACGTGCAGATAGGACTGATACCTTTTTATTTACACACTCATCCTGTTTTATGATTACGCGCTGAAACCCTTCCACCTGGACGTGAATTATGTGCATTTTTTTATAGAGAAGTAAATGCAGAAAAATACTAAAATGTATAAAAATAAAAATAACATCCTCACAAATGCGGAGTGAACGGTTGTCTCATGTCATTTTAAGTTTCAAGTGGCAAACTGAGCCGTGCTCTTGAACACTGTAGGACTTGTGATGTCTGCGTGTCTGTAGAACACTCTCCTGTCTTTGTCTTGTGTGTGAACAATCAATGAGAACCCGACCTACTTAAAGAAGGGCAGCAGGTTATTGCAGAGGTCAGCCGACACTGATTGAAAAGTGCTGCTCACACATGAAAGATGAGGTAACGAACGGTGATTTAAAATGGAAATGACTTGACATAGGAAGCTGTGGGAAACTACAATGTGTAATGCAACTGCAATCGCACATATGTGAAAGTATAAACAAGATTTACTCAAAGGTTCTTTTTGATTTTTTTTAAGAGAACGTCAGTGTATGGAGTAAGTACACAGGACATCTAAATATTCCAAGTTTATTGTCATGATTTTACAAGCTTAATGTCATAATATTCATTATTTTCTTAAATCTCATAATAACAAAATGAGCTTTAAAATTATGAGATAAAAGTCAGTGCATAATTGAAAAAATAGAGCGTTCCTTGTTCTGGCGTATTTACTCCATCTCTGAGTGAAGTTACACACAAACATTTCATCATTATTTTGATGATGATATTTTTTACTGCAAATGGCAAATAAACTGAATCTGATGCCAAAAAGAAAAAAAATATTACTTAATTCTCGTAGTACTATGAGAGTAAATACTAAAACATTTTCTGACTTTTATTTTAATCTCAGAATTGTTCATAATTTGTCTCATTATGTATTGATTCTTTATGAAGTTGTATGTATTTGTATACAAGATAATGTGACTGGCATGTGACGTTACTAAAAGAGTAAAAGCAATGGCTTAACCACTCTGCCATGGTTTTTATATTCCAAAACAACGTGAAGTATCAAAATGTTGTCGTCCATACGCTATTTTTAAAATCCGTCTGTAGCCACTGGCCTCTACAATGACCGCTGCCGCTAACAAATGTGTGACCAAAGCGCTGCAGGAACAGAAATATGATTTGTTTTCTGACTTTAAGTAAATGAGCCATGACCACAACCTAACTACAACCCAGTTGGAGAAACACAAGAGGTCACCGAACTGTAATCAGCACCAGGCCTGTAACAGCGATTTGTTAAGAATGTTGAAAGCTTTATAACCTGTGTTGTCCAGTCACATGGGTAATAACTTTGCTTGGTGATAAATGACTTGTTTTTTGGTTTCAGATGGAGGAAGAAAGAAATGAGTAGAGATGTCCTTTATGTGCGGTGTTGTGCAGCTTTGGCACAATGGGGACGTGCTTGGTAACCTTTCCTTCATTCCTCTCACTGTGTTCTCGACGACGTACATCATTAACTGCACCAATGGCTTTCCTGTGTGATGGAAATGCCACTGCCCAGGCCTCTCTCCCAACAATAAGGGCCTCTCTGCCTTCTGACACAAGTCCATGTGGAGATTTGGACAGTTATGCATGCGTTCAAGTGGCGCACTTATTAATACAACACTTTTATCCGTAAATTGGATATGTTGTGGTTGGGTACGATGCTAATATTTCCATCCCACAATTTACGCTCCCAGAGTAAAGGCAATTCCGTCACAATCCAACAGGCAATTGATCTAAATAACGCAATTTAACAAAAACTTTAATTTTTTTTAATAAAAGAATTTAAATGATGAGAAGTTATACTAATTAGACTAACCCTGGTAGCTTTTTAAGGCAATACACTTGGCTCTGCAAGCTGTAAAAAAACCTTTTGGTAACCCTTTATGATAATACTATATGAACTCATTCATTATTTATTTGTGATTTATGTCGGTGTATAGTATAGCGCTATAGTCATTGTTGCAAATGTGTCAAATGTCTTACATAAAACATATGTAGTAAGTAAGACCAAGCTCTTTACAATATGGAGGGAAAAGCAAAAGCAAGACGCCGAACATTTTGACGCATCAAGCCTCTGACCATCACCATCTCTGCACTCACTCATTACATTTAGGCCTCTTGTACATGTTTTAGTGGTAGGGGAAACTGGAACATTAAAAACTCCCCACTTTGTGTTCCCAAAGGTCTCCCATCACAATACTAACCAGGCCCTGTCCTTCTAAGATTCAAAGGTCTGACAGGAACTGGCTTTCACATGCAGGCAGATTTAGGATCATAACTTACTTCTCTATTCTGATATCTATTGCGTATAACACATGGGACTGCAAATCCAGCTGCTGTAAATGCTGCTTCTGATTGATTTTTGTTTCATCCAACTGCACTGAGAATTATAATACGGACATGCTTTATTGAACTCCAAAATCAATATGCAATGTGTGTATTTTATTATTTTTAAACTGTTCCAATGCCAAACTGAGTGGGGGTTACCATCAGGTGTAGCTGTTGAGGATAGTAATTACTTTCTTTGAATAAGCCAGCGTGCAAGAATATGATTACTGCAATTATTCTGGAACAAAATGGCAACTTCTGTCTGGGAAAATATCTGTAAACAAAATAAATATAAATAATGTGGCTGTATTTCCGTGGCAGTGTACTAAGCTGCCAATTAAAGGTAATATATTGTTTATGCTATATGGGAGACTTGAGCTGAATCTGTAAGTCCATCAATATGTTTTCCTCCGAATTTGGGGTTAGTTTTTATGGCTGTTTACTTTTGCGTCACTGCACAAATCAAGAGTGAAATGAAAATCACCAATGGAGTCTGAAGTAGTCCAAAAGTGCATTAAATCCACAGGAAGAGACCTTGCTTAGACATGAAATTGACTCCCGCTGTTTGCAACTTCTTCCTCTCAGCTGAAGTCTCTCAATCTAAAGAGCCCCGGGTCGCACAAGTCCTGATTCGGAGAATTGCTGGAACCGTATCCTCAACAAACAGGGCCAGAGAAGAAAACAAAAAAAAGTCTACATTTATGTCTAAGGGCAGTCATTTGTATCCGCTTCAGAGATCAACTATTTATTTTTTCAGTCATTAAACATTTTGTATGGTATAACTTTTACTGAGTCCACAAGAAAAGTGGGATGGCTTTGCAAATTTGTAGATAAGAGGAAATTTCAATGTCATAGTTGCGCACAAAACAGCAGAATAAAAGGATAAATAAGATTATGCACACATCAAACAAGATCCATTATTTAAGATAAGAGATTATACAATTTTAAGATAATACGATTAGAATTATCTTATGTATTGACTGTTGAACAATGGCCAAGGGTGAGAATAAACTCTTAACCCTTGTATTATGTTAAAGAAGACATATTGGGCTAAAACTACTTTCTTGAGCTTTTACAGAATTATCAAAAAGTAGTAGTAGTTTTTAGATCAATCCACACAATATCAGAACTATGCAAGATGTCTGATTTGTTTTGTATGTCAATTAAACATCCCCAAATATTAATATTAATTTCAGTTTTAATTTGTCATTTTAAATTTGCCCAGGTATATAGAGTGATTGAACTTTGTATTTATGTATGTATGTTAGTAATGCAGTATACTTATATCAGTAAATTCCATCCATTTTCTACCCCTTAATCCATTTTTGGATCGGGGGGTGGCGAGAGATGCCACCCAGTCCACGTAGCACCAGACCATATCAGTAAATTCCATGGGATTAACACAACATTGGTTCAATCCTTTATTCAATATTTCCATTGTGATCCAAGAGAAAGATTATCTCTGATCATCAAAGAGAGTAATTGAGAAGCTTTTCCTCAAAAGTCTATACAAAACTGTCTGTGACTCCACACTTAATTTTGTCTGTCTCAATGCTTTATGTTTTACTTTTCCTCTTTTCTGAGGTCTGCTGCTTTTTGCAATTAAGCAAAGCCAAAGCCGTCTGTCACTGTCAGCCGCGAGTTACAAAGAAAAGAAAAGACAGATTGTGACTGTAAAGTTTCGACGTGAAATGAAATACAAGTCTGTTTTTCTCTTGTTCCCACTCAAATGTTTCTTTCCAAATCATCAACGGCACATATGGCAATTTTATGTTCTTTGAAATACAGTGATCAGACCTAAAAGGTTTGTCCTGTCATCAACATTTTTGCTTTAGAACAGAAGACCAATAGCTGCTGTTGATTCACCATGCATTGTTTGGAGCTGTTGCAGTAATGACCCAAATTACGGACGAACACAAGGCAGGAGTGTCTTTTCTTATTTTATTATAAGTTTCACTTCTCTCAGTGAGCACAAGTCATTGTTCATTTATATTCACACACGTTCAAACAATCACTGATAAAAAGGAAAAAGGGCACCACCCACAACGGCCATTGGAAGGGGCCGACTGGGAGGAGCGCGTCTCCTGCTGTGAGGTGCGCTCGTTATGAGCGCCTAGATGGTAGCGTGCAGCGCGTTTGGATAGCCGCAACAGACTCCCCGCCGATGAGCCCGACTCCAGTCAGCTCATCACTTGGTGGTTAGAGTTCAAGGGGATAGAGAAGCTGGATGGGTCTCCTTAGCGTTGATCTTGAGGGAAGCATAAGTAAACAAGAGCGAACCCTGCCGTCACGCCCGGGATAAACTCCGGTGATTCGAGCCACTTTCCACATGTGACGTGGCAATTTGTCTTCGTGGACTATGACCACGTCTCCGATTTTAAAGTCTTTAAATTCCTTTGCGTTGGTGCAAGAATGAGCAGAGCGTAATTCTAATAAATATTCTTTGCTCCAACGATTCCAGAATAAATTTGAAAGTCTTTGTCTGTAACTCCATCGTTTCCTCATTTTGTCTGCGTCCATTCGAGGGACAAGAGTCAGAGTTCCAGCTGCGGGAAGAGTGGTAAGTCGCTGGCCAACCAGAAAGTGCGAGGGAGTGAGAGGGCTCGGTTCTTCACTGCCAGTGTGAGTAAATGTAAGAGGTCGGGAATTAATAACAGCCTCTACTTCCGCGAGAAGCGTCTCGATCTCCTCATATTTCAAAGCGGCTCTCCCAACAACTTTTCTCAGGCAAGTTTTAACTGAACGCACAAGCCTCTCCCACATTCCACCCCACCAGGCGGCCCTCTCCGCGATAAACTTCCACGTTACCCTCCGTTCTGCAAGGAAATCTTGGACTGGTTTTGAGTTAAGAGAGTCCCATAATACAGACAGTTCTTTGTTTGCTCTTTTAAAAGTTTTTGCGTTGTCAGAATAAATAGTTTTACATAATCCTCGTCTTGATACAAAACGTCTAAAAGCCATTAAAAACTTTTCAGTGGTCAAATCGGATACAAGTTCTAAGTGAATAGCACGAGTGACAGCACATGTAAAAAGAGCGATAAATACTTTTTCTTGAGATTTGGTGTAAAGCGGACCAGCGAAATCGAGGCCTGTAACTTCAAAGGGAGGAGCTTCGTTGATGCGCTGTCCAGGCAAAGGTGCTGAAACCTGTCGACCAGGTTTGGTCCTGAATTTGCGGCAAATTAGACATGCATGTATTAGTTTCTTTGTTAGCTGTCTTCCCTTTATTATCCAAAATCGTTCTCTTGTTTGATTTAAAGTGTCTTGCAGTCCTGAATGCATGACTTGTCGATGACACTTACTCACAAGAAGCTTGGAGAGATCGCAATCAGAGGGCAGAATGATTGGATGTTTTTGATCAAAGTTCATGTCTGACATTTGCAATCTACCTCCGAGTCTCATTAAATTGTCTTGGTCCAAGAACGGGCGAAATGCAACAAGTTTTGACTGTGAGCTTAATTCGTTATCATTTTGTAAAGAAAACATTTCGTTTTTGAAGTACTTTGCTTGAGTTTTGCGAATCCAGAAACTTTCAGCTTGGGATAATTCACTTGCCGTGAGAGGGCCACTTGTTTTTTCACTCTTGCATTTTGGCAGAAGCGTTTTATCCATGCTGTTACGCGCAGCGCACGACTGAGGGCACTGTAGTTTTTTAGTGGCAATAACTCACTTTCCTCTTCAGCACTAGTCAAACACACAATTTTATTCATTTCGGAGTTGATATCAGTTTCATTTATTAACGTTGCACCATTGTCTTTGTTGTTTTCAAATAGTTCCTTTAGCCAATGGGGGCCGGTCCACCAGAGATCGCTTTGAAGTAATTTACTCACAGAAATTCCTCTTGTCGCGACATCTGCGGGATTTTCAGTGCCTTTGCAAAAATTCCAAAGAGAAAGGTTCCGTTAAACTTTGAATTTCACGCACTCTATTTTGAACAAATGGTTTCCATTGTTTTGCAGAACTTTTGATCCAGTGCAACGTTATCATCGAGTCAGTCCACATTGTTACTTGTGACATATTCAAGTCCAGATTTTGAGTGACATAATGACTGAGCCTCGCGCCTATAACTGCGCCTAAAAGTTCAAGTCTTGGCAACGTAACCCTTTTTAACGGGGCCACGCGCGTCTTGGCTGTTATAAGAGAGACTGAACATTGTCCATCACAATCTA